CTACCTTCCCACCGGAGCTGTACCTATTGATCTACTCACATTTGTGTGTTTTCAAACTGCTAGGTTGGCAGAAGCCGGGCCTAACAGCGAGAGCCCAATATATATAATATTAACTGCAGTAGCACAGTTATTTTTGTCCTTATATTTAGATGGGAATAGTTGGAGTGTGTGCTACAGTAGACCCGTTAAATCAGTTGAACTTGCCATGAATTCAGTGGGTTCCCATTAGTTTCCATTAGCCAAATGGGTGTACTCTAGCTGAGGCTGAGAACTGGATTTGGTAGCTGCAATTGTATCATCTAGTAAAGGTTTCCCCTTGACGTTAAGTTTGGTGCTCATCTCCATTCCTAAGCTGAAGAACCAGCTTCGTCCATAGACACCTCCAAGGTCATGTGGGCAGCATGATTGCATGGAGTGCAATTACCTTCCGACTGGAGCCGTACCTATTGATCTACTCACCTTTGTGTGTTTTCAAACTGCTAGGTTGGCAGGAACTGGGCCTAACAGCGGGAGCTCACCCCGCTCCCTGGATTCGAACCACTGACCTTTTGGTCAGCAAGTTCAGCAGCTCAGTGGTTTAACCCACTGTGCCACCGAGGGCTCCATGCACCATGCAGCTTTCCATTGCTTGCTGGCATTTGATTTTGTTCATCTTTACCACCAGATATTGTATATAGCATTCCTTGCATTGATGCAAGGAACAGGGACACGTCAGATGTCTAAAACGCCATCCCAAGTTTGAGAGGGCTTTGCAGTTGCATTGCCAAGGCACAAAAAGCAGGCCCGTTGTCCCTCCAGGGACATCTCACTGCAATGCAGCAACCATCCACAGCAGAAGGAGTGTAAGGCTCCCCAGACTGATAGTTAATTAGATTAGAGGCACTACGGTGGAATGCTAATGCAGCGCTGTGCTGTGTGCAGTGTAGCAGAGCAACAGGCATGCAATGGGCAATTCCTCCCCAAATACTATATCCTTGTTTGAAAAGGTAATGGGGGACTGAGTGGTCAATAATCTGTTCTTCTTGAGAAATCAATTGATGTGCTGTCTGTATGCCTTCTGACATTCTTACCCTGCTTTCTGGCCTATAAAGGTAAAGGTTTTCCCTGGACATTAAGTCCAGTCGTGTCCGACTCCGGGGGTTGATGCTCATCTCCATTTCTAAGCCAAAGAGCCAGCATTGTCCATAGACACCTCCAAGGTCATGTGGCCAGCATGACTGCATGGAGTGCCACTACCTTCCCACCAGAGCCGTACCTATTGATCCACTCAACTTTGTGTGTGGACTGCATGGAGCGCTGTTAGCTTCCTGCCGGAGTGGTATCTATTGATCTGCTCACATTCGCATGTTTTTGAACTGCTAGATTGGTAGAAGCTGGGGCTAACAGTGGGAGCTCACGCCACTCCCTGGATTCAAACTTGCGACTTTTCAATCAGCAAGTTCAGCAGGTCAGCGGTTTAACCCACTGCTCCACTGGCCTGTATCCCTCGTAAAACATTATCTGTATTTTGGCCCATTTTTCGAGGATCCTCTCTTTCAGGATGTATCTTAGTTGGAGACGCATACTACCTGCTACATCTTTTTCATGAGAAAAGGACCATTTTTCTCTTTAGTCCATGTGTCATTGCTTGCTACTGTCTCCTACTACAGGGAAGTAGCTCTGTTTTCTATGCTTGACTTTCAAGGAGTTGTCCAATGTGCTGAACACAGGGCTTCAAATAGTTTCAGCACCTTAAACAGCTCCTTAAGAGACAAATGTTAAACAGAGCCGAGATTTGCTCCACCTCTGACACGGGCGCTTGAGTATGAACACAACTTTGATGTATAATATGATAGGAAGCATAACTTACACTCGTTACAATTGCTGATCTTTTACAGGCATGGGCAAACTTCATCCCTCCAGTTGTTTTGGACTTCAACTCCAAACTGCCCATTCTTGGGTTGTAGTGTGTTCTCTGGGCTGTATGGCCATGTTCCAGAAGCATTCTCTCCTGATTTGTCACCTCCATCTATAGCGGGCATCCTCAGAGGTTGTTAGGTCTGTAGGTAGGTACTGGCTTGTTCAACCAGCAGGTACTGGCTTGTTCAACTAGGGAAATTGGGTTTATATACCTGTGGAATTATGTCCAGGGTGGGAAAAGGAACTCTCGTCTGCTTGAGGCAAGGGTGAATATTGCAATAATAATAATAATAATAATAATAATAATAATAATAATAATAATAATTTGCCTAGTTTCCAACAGACCTCACAACCTCTGAGGATGCCTGCCATAGATACAGGTGAAATGTCAGGAGAGAATGCTTCTGGAACATGGCCATACAGCCTGGAAAACACACAACAACATCGTGATTCCAGCCATGAAAGTCTTCGACAACACATTGCCCATTCTTGGTTTGCCCCTGGAGGAAGACCRTCATGGGGGGCCATCCAGTTGAAATTGCCTGATTTTTCTGCCCAYGGGATAGACTTGCTATTGCTGGAGGAACATTTAGAGGAGTGCTGGCTCTCATGAATCTTTCCCTTGATTTAAGTCTACTGGGAGGAGGCTGATAGCAGTATAGTGGGTGGTTTTCACAGAGTTCAACCTTATTTCTCTCGCAATTGGCAAGCAACTTCCCGTCGCACATCAGGGATTGGGGGGGGGGGGGAGCCAGCTAGCTTATAAAGTCTAACAACAGGTGTAGATTTAAGACATCCTGTGATTATTCTACATGTTTCGTTCAGTGTTATATTCACCTGTTTTGTGTGGGCAGATTTGGAGCAGGCGTCACAGCTTGGCATAGATGCAGGCGAAATGTGAGGTTCAAATGCTTCTAGAGCATGGCCATATCGCCTGAAAGACCTACAACAACCCGGAGCAGGCATACTCAGCAGCTGAGTAAGACAAGGCCATGGCTGATGTTCTGCTTAATTTTGGGTCTGCAGCCCATGCACTATTACGAGGGTTGAATGAAAAGTAATGCCTTCACCTTCGTAACTCCTCAACAGACTGGTATGCAACAGGTACTGGCTTGTTCAGTAGACTCTCCTCTACAGTTGGTGGGAAGCCTTAGCATTGAACGGTTGTGTTGTTAAAGTGTGAAGTATGGAACCCTGCACGGACAGTCGGTCAATGCGAATTAAGCAATGTGCAGTCATTGAATTCTTGACAGCAGAAGGTGTCACCCCAAAGGAGATTCATCAGAGAATGCAAGCTGCTTATGGTGATTGTGTGGATGTGAGTACTCTGTGTCGTTAGGCGAGTAAGTTTAAAGTTGTTGAGGTGGGAACATCTGACTTGCGTGACAAACAAAGAGTTGGATGTCCTGTGACAGCAACCACTGAGTTTCACAAGCAAAAGGTTGACAGATTGATTTAGAACAATCATCATATCGCTCCAAATTTTCAAACATAATCGGCACTTTACAAGAACGTGTGGGTCACATTATTGCTTTGCTTGGCTATCAGAAGATCCGTGCATGATGGGTACACTGGATGAGAGAACTGTGAGACGCTGGTTGCGGAAACAGAGTTTCGACTTCTTCCATGACAGCTTCAGAAAACTTGTTCATTGTTGGCAGAAATGTATCCAATTGTCTGGTGATTATGTGGAAAAGCAAATAGTGATAGTTAAAGAGCACATTCTAAGGCTTATTTCTGCGTTTGATTTATTAAAATATTCCCATCCAAACCCAAGTAACGAAGGTGGAGGCATTACTTTTCAGTCAACCCTCGTAGTAAGTTTCTGCAGGATGTTACTGCATGCAGCTACCTTGTGCTTGGTGTCCCAGCAGTGTTTACAATAGTCTTGATAACTAAATCCTATCCTCAAGGAAAAATTATTATTATTATTATTATTATTATTATTATTATTATTATTATTATTTTTTCAGGCATTTTTACCCCGCCTTTCTCAACCCCCTGGGGGGGGGGGGGACTCAGGGCAGCTTCCAGCCGGCACATATTTGATGCCTACAATTCAACACAGTAAAATACACAACAGTAATTATAAATCATTAAAACATTAAGTTAATACAATAAAATCTAATAGAAAAAAGCCAGCCTGGTGGCCATCGTTTCACCGAGTTCTGTAATTAGTGAGTCCATTCAGCTTATCATAATCCATTCCAAAGCTCTTGTCGTCATTGTCTTTGTCAGTCTGCCAGATTACCCAAAGGCCTGGTCCCATATCGATGTTTTTAATTTCCTTCTCAAAGAGAGGAGGGATGATGATGATCTAATTTCCCTGGGGAGTGAATTCCACAGGCGGGGGGCCACCACCGAGAAGGCCCTGTACATCATCCCCGCCAGTCTCGTTTGTGGCAAGGGCGGGGCTGAGATCAGGGCCTCTCTAGAAGATCTTAAATTCCTAGGCGGGACGTAGAAGGAGATACGTTCGGACAGGTACGCTGGGCCGGAGCCGTATAGGGTTTTATAGGTCAAGACCAGCACTTTGAATTGTGCTCGGAACTGGATCGGCAGCCAGTGGAGCTGACATAACAGAGGGATGGTGTGCTCCCTGCATGACGCTCCGGTGAGTAGTCATGCAGGACTAGGATGTAGGAAGAGGAATGGAAAATTCGTTGTTAGCTTCACTGACGAGTATGGAAGGGCGTTCATTCTTTCTGTTAGTTCAATAAGCGAGCCTTTGAGTGCAAACTTTTCCTCCAAAGTCCATTTCAGAGCTACTGCAAGCCGAACTAACCTTACTAACCGAACGGACCCACCCGAAAGTGGGGCAATTGACCGACGTTGTTTCCATGGAGTCTATGTAACAGTGTGTGCCGATTACTCAAAGCGATACGGGCAGGACCTGGTGATCTATCTAGTGATGCTCTAGACTTTTTAACTTTTTCTAAGGGGTTTGATCCAGTTATGCCTGCAGTTATGAGATAATTTTTTTTATACGTTTGTGGCCAGGAACCCTGCTTTATCGCTTTGTATAGTTTTAAAGTAGTTTAAAGCTTGAATAACATAAAATAACATAATATAATGTTATTTATGTTATTTCCCACGTGAAGAACTCCTGTAAACCTTGCAGTATTGAAACTCAGTGAACAAGGCATCTTAGACAAGCTGAAAAACAAATGGTGGTACGATAAGGGTGAATGTGGAGCCAAGGACTCCGGAAGTAAGGTCAGTCGCTGAAGGTCTTTTCGTACTGATGATTAGCAATCACATTTTTATTTTTGACCCACTGTTTTATTTATACCAGAGTAACTTTTCCAAAATTACGTATTTCCATTCTGAAGGTTCGAGGACAGGAAGGGGAGGCTTTTTTCTATGCTTTTTTTTTCTTTCAAAAAGGAGAAATCTATTAAACAATTAGAAATAGTTTACCGCCTTTCTCTTTTGCGGTATCACAGGCATTCGTTGTAAGTACCTTGTAAGTACTTGCGCTGATATATTTCTCTCTCTTGACATTTATCAAATAATCATAACAACAACAACGAATAATAATCTCAAACTGGTTTCTCCGCTGTAGCGTATATACTCGAATATAAGCCGACCCAAATATAAGCCGAGGCACCTAATTTTAGCACAAATAATTGGGAAAATGTATTGACTCGAGTATAAGTCGAGGGTGGGAAATGCAGCAGCTAAAATAAAAATAGATAACAATAAAATTACATTAATTGAGGCATCAGGAGGTTCAATGTTTTCGAATATTTACATAAAACTGTAATTTAAGATTAGATTGTCCAACTCTGATTAAACCATTATTCTAGCCTTCTTCAATGTAAATGTGCTGCTTACTAGGGCTGGGTAACCATGGAAAAAATTGTTTCTAAACTCGATTCGTTTTTAAGGGGTCCATCACGTTTCATTTCTTTAAAGAATTCCGAAATTTTCCTTTTAAAAATTTCGAAATATACGAAATTTCGTAAATTTTGTATTGATTCGTTAATGGCAGACGCGATTGCGCAATATGCTAAAAAAACCTTCCAAATATGCTAAAAATATGCTGAAAAAATGCGAAAATAATTACGAAACAATTTTGAAACAATTTCGAAACAATTACGAAACAATTACGAAATAAATTGAAAAAATCGTTTCGATTTTTAATTACTCCTGCATGGCTCAATATCGGATCGTAAGCTAATTTAAATACGAATTAATAACGAATTGCGAAATTAACGAACGAAACCACCCAGCCCTACTGCTTACATATCCGTCTAATAATAATAGAGTTAAATAATAATGGTAATAATAATAGAGTAAAATAATAAATGTAATAATCAAAGTAATAATCAATAGTGAAAAATCATAAATGTACTAATGACAACAATAATAGAGTATAATAATAAATGAAATAACAATAGAGTAAAATAATAAATGTAATATTAACAATAATAAATAGAGTAAAATAAGAGATGTATTAATGACAGTAATAAGAAATAGAGCAAAATAAGAAATGTACGAATGACAATAATAATAAATAGTGGAAAATAATAAATGTAGTAATGGCAACAATAATAAATAGAGTAAAATAATAAATGTACTAATCAAAGTAATAATCAATAGTGAAAAATAATAAATGTACTAATGACAACAATAATAAATAGAGTATAAAAATAAATGAAATAACAACAATAACAATAGAGTAAAATAATAAATGTAATAATAACAATAATAGAGTAAAATAAGAAATGTACTAATGACAATAATAATAAATAGAGTAAAATAATAAATGTAATAAAATAATAATCAATAGTGAAAAATAATAAATGTACTAATGACAACAATAATAAATAGAGTATAATAATAAATTAAATAACAACAATAACTAGAGGAAAACGATAAATGTCATAATAACAATAAGAAATAGAGTAAAATAAGAAATGTACTAATGACAATAATAATAAATAGAGTAAAAAAATAAATGTACTGACGATAATAATAAACAGTGTAAAATGATAAATGTAATAATAACAATATTAATAAATAGAGTAAAATAATAAATGCAATAATGGCAACAATAATAGAGAAAAATAATAAATGTATTAAAAATAATAACAAACTGAGTAAAATAATAAACATAATAACAACAATAATAATAAATAGAGAAAATAATAAATGTAATAATAATAGAGTGAAATAATAAATGTAACAATGATAATAGAGTAAAATAATAAATGTAATAAAAATAGAGTAAAATAATAAATGTATTATTATTAATAATAAATAGAGTAAAATATTGTAAATGTAATAAAAATAATACTAATAACAGAGTAAAAGAATGAATAACCTTGAGTCAAGTATAACTAAAAAAGGGGCTGAAACCGAGGCTTATGCTCGAATATATACAGCATATTTAAATACATGCACATATGTAGAGAAGTTCTATTTGGTATGATTTTTAGCTTCTAAAGACATTGATTTGTTTTCTAAAGAGTTTGCACACTTCATAAATTGGAATTACGAAGTTCCGTGACGCCTTTCTGTATCGAGATGGGTGTTTTTTCTTCCCTTTTCAAAGAGATAGATACATGAAAATTAAAGGATGGATAATTATTTTTTTCTGAGAGGACATCACATTAATACGCATGAAACATCCTTTTTTATTTTTCCTTCTTTCCTTCGAAGAAAGTCTGGAGGGTTTTTCAAAAAAAAAGTTCTATTATTTCGATAGCACACGATTTTATCGCTGGTTCATTTCATAAATTTTGGCCATTTGGTTGTTTTTTTCTTTTCCTTTTCCGATTATTCATCAAACCATTTTGCTACTGTATTATTATTACATCCCACCTCAGAAAAAAAACTTTTGCAATGGCATACTTTGGTTTTCTTTTTTAATGGTATGGCTTCCGGCTTATTGTCACGAGCTATAGGCACCAATTATGTTTGCCAATTTGGTGGGTGCGGAGCCCTCCTCGTGGGAATCTTCTCCTGTGGAATGCCCACGAACGCGGGACGTCCCATACGGAGAAGCAACCGTTCCATATGGAGAAACAATCGAGAAGGAGTCATGTGGATGGATGGAAACCTTCCATGAGGAAGGTTTCCATCCATCCACACGTCTCCTTCTTGATTTGGGGGACCTGCTATGGATGAAACATGGAGATGTATCTCATGTGACTTTCCATATGGAGAAGCAACCATTCCATATGGAGAAAGAGACGTGTGGATGGATGGAAATCTTCTCCATGGAAGGTTTCCATCCATCCACACGTTTCCTTCTCGATTTGGGGGACCTTCTATTGATGAAACATGGAGATGTATCTCATGTGACATTCTATATGAAGAAGCAACCATTCCATATGGAGAAGGAGATGTGAAGATGGATGGAAACCTGCCATGTTCCCCATGGAAGGTTTCCATCCATCCACACGTCTCCTTCTCCATATGGAAAGGTTGCTTCTCCATATGGAACGTCACATGAGATACATCTCCATGGTTTCCATCCATTCACACATCTCCTTCTCGATTTGGGGGACCTGCTATTGATGAAACATGGAGATGTATCTCATGGAGCGCTTCCCATTCTCGAAAGCCATGCAATATTTATATCTATCAATGCTTTTTGGATGCCTTTTCAAAGGCACCAAGCACAGCTTGGTCTCCAAGTCCCATTTGGAACGAATGGGAAGTGGAAACCCATCTTCTGCTGGTGCCTTTGAAAATATACCGCGTGATCATGACCATGACGAGAACGATCGGATGCTTTATTTACAAATACAAGAAAGCTCCATCTCCTGGTCCTTCTGGAGTCAATGGGAACGGCTTGGTCCCAGGAGGACCAGGAATGGATGTTGCCTCTTACCAAGAACTTTGGGCCGATGGATGTTTAAATGCACCATTGCAGGATCAGCCTCTTTTGTAACTCAAACGAATCAGGAAGCAAACAGCCCGAGCGTTTTTAAATGTCTTTGCTTGTCTCTGGCTGGCTGGAACCGACTTAACGGGAGGCAGGTTGTCAATTTGGTTGGCTTTCGTTTTTGGTTCCTGATGGCTTCCAAATTGGATTCGAGTTCCGAGATTTCCGATGAGCGGAGTGAGGCTTAACCTGCAACTTTTTTTAAAAAAAGACTCAATTTCAAATTTTCTGCCACAGATTGGTCTGGAATCCAGATTGACATCAACTACTCAGGCCTTGCCTACATAAGAGAGCTGTGCTGGTTGTAGAACATATCGGGTGTGAAACTGGGGCAAGTCTTGTGTGCGGACACCGCTTTATTTCCCCCTCTTGCATCAGAACTGTTTCTGATTCTTGCCTTTGTTTCTCCTGGGTGCAAGTGATAGCTCCACGGAGATTTCTCCGCTTTCAGAGGGGTTCAACCTCCAACCTTTGTTGGTTGTCAGCTCGAACACGAATAGAGTCTTTGGCTCTGAAGCTGAAAAGCGGCCTGTCCGCATTGGGACCTGAACCAGTTTGACTCAGTTGGTTGAATTCTTCTCCATTGACACCTGCACAACTTTCCCATGTTGACAAGCCTTCTGATTTTCTTTGTGTCACAGCTCAAACGATCAGGAGTCTAACAATTGAGAAACCCATGTAGCAGGTAATCCAATTCAGCAGCAAAATGGTTATGATGGTGTCTCAAACAAAACAAAAATTATTATTATTATTATTATTATTATTATTATTATTATTATTTCAAAATTTCAACTCTCACTGCCTTGAGAGTACACTTTAGAGCAGACAGCTTAGCTTAGTGCATTTTCAGATAGTGTTTTTGAAAACCAATTTGTTTGTCGATTTCTTTGTCCAATTCTTAAGACGCACCATGAGAGGTTAGGCTTATTTATTTAGCTCAGCCTGAAAGTAACTGACCAACTTCACCAAACATCACTATTGCGATGAAGACATCAAGGGGGGAATAGATGAGCAAGATTCAGATTACTTCTCTCAACATTCATAACTAAGGCCTTTATCATTATGGTTGCACAAATACAGTTGAAAAGTGGCCTTCAATACGTCTGTTTTGCTTTGTTCAGATCCACTCCAGTGGAAAAAAACATCTGAACAATTCGACGAAAGAGTCAGATGAGTTCAGTGATATGCACCATATAGAGATGGGCGTCCAGCTAGATGGTGAATACCACTGACTTGGAAGCACTCCATTAGCACCAAGTTATGGGGAGGTAGAACATGGTTTTCTGGGTGTTTACGCCTTTTTGCAATCATGGGACATGATTTGTGAGACGAATCTGGCGAGAGTAGTTTCTGATTCACCTGGTGCCTCTGAAATTGGTGCAAAGATTTGGGTGCAAAGAGATGCAAAAAGTAGCCAGAGCGAGATAAGTCCACCCTGAGGGTCTTCCAAAGTAGGTCCCTCTTGGCCTTTGCAAAGTGTGATGATGCCCCTTTGCCTGCCTCTCCTCTCCGTTGTGAAACTAACCAACTGGTTCATTTCTCTTAGGACAAGACCAGCGCCCTAAGCCTGAGCAATGTGGCGGGGGTTTTCTATATCCTCGTCGGCGGTCTCGGGCTGGCCATGACGGTGGCCTTGATAGAGTTCTGTTACAAGTCTCGCGCTGAGTCCAAACGAATGAAACTCACAAAGAACACACAAAACTTTAAGCCGGCTCCTGCGCCCAATACCCAGAATTATGCTACGTACAGAGAAGGCTACAACGTGTACGGAACAGAAAGTGTTAAAATCTAGTGGTACGGCTGAAGGTCTAGTAAGCAAACCAACCAGTTTATGTTTTCCTTTTCTCCTTCCTTCCTTCGGTGTGTCCCTGTGGTGGTGTGTTTTGGTGTTGTGTTCCCCAGCATGGAGTAAACATCTCAGGATCAGACCGATCGGAAGTGGGACGCAACGTAGCCAACGTCTTTTTGACACGAGTTCTAGCAACACTATTGTTTTTTCCTCCCCAAAAACTTTGGTTAGATCCATTCTTAAACTAGATGATGCTACTCAACATTTCCATCATATTATTTTTATTTATTTGTTTGTTTACAACATTTATATTCTGCCCTTCTCACTCCACAAAGGACTCAGGGCGGATCACAATGCACATATACATGGCAAACATTCAATGCCGTAGACACACAACACATATAGACAGACACACAGAGGCTATTTAACTTTCCAGCTTTTACCCTGGCTCAAAAAAATATTTATTTTTATTTATTTACAGTGTTTATATTCCACCCTTCTCACCCCGCGAAGGACTCGGAGTGGATCACAATGCACATATACATGGCAAAATTCAATGCCGTAGACACACAACATATATAGACAGAGGCTATTTAACTTTCCAGCTTCATGAGGGTATGCTCTTTTGAATTCTGGCCACCGGGGGAGCTGTCGCTTCACCATCCACTTGTGACAGCGATGGATTTTACATGCTGCTGGAGAGCTTTTTATGGCATCATAAATTAGTTAAATGAGCCTCCTCACATAAGCGGTACCTAAATTTCCTTCTTGACAGATGCAACTGTCTTTTGGGCTGCAAAGGTCGACAGCAAGCTAGACAAATGGCCAGAAGCTTGCTGCTACCAGAACAACCAACCTGATATATATATATATGGGGCCTGATCCATCTGACAAAACTCAGTCTCAAGTCAACTTAACACACCAAATGTGCATTTCATAAATGCTCCGGCCTATTGCTTTTTGCAGAAAGGGCATAGCAAACAAAAACAAGTTTTTTTCCAAACATTAGTCCTAATAATAAAGAAAATCTCTATTATAAGTTAAGCAACTTGCATCTTTTCCCCATATTCTTTAATAGGGTCCCCTAATCTGTCTCCTAAGATAGCCACTTAATTTTGTATCTCATTGAGTGCATTTTGCACCTTTAGTCTTGATTTTTGTGTGTATGTGTGTCAGGAGCAACTTGAGAACCTGCAAGTCGCTTCTGTGTGCAAGAATTGGCTCTCTGCAAGGACATTGCCCTGATATTTTGATGTTTTACCATCCTTGTGGGAGGCTTATCTCATGTCCCCACATGGGAAGCTGCAGCTGACAGAGGGAGCTCATTCATGGTCTCCCTGGATTCGAACCTCCGACCTGTTGGTCTTCAGTCCTGCCGGCACAAGGGTTTAACCCACTGCGCCGGGGGCTTCTTAGTCTTGATTATTGCAGGTTTTGCCCAGGACATTGGATATGACAAGCTTCCATATAGAAATGGACATTATTGACAATGCTTCCCTGCATTTTGTATGTGTTTTTTACCCCCTTTTGTTTATGAAATGGGACTCAGGTAAACTCAGGTAAGTGTTTTTCGGAGGTCTTTACTGTGCTGCCAACCAACGGGGCGGAGAGGAAGGAGGGAAGGAGAAATAATTTCCACAATAACAGAAGCAAGAAATCTAAATGCAATATGTGTCTGTCTTTAAGTGTAAGAATGGATAGATAAATGGATGGAAGTTTGAGAGACGAGAGAGAGAGCAAGGAAGGTGATTACAATAAAGAGAGGGCCAAAATTCCCACTGGCTTGATCACAGAAGCGCATGTAATGCATTGCTTTCCAACAAGTAAGTCATATTTTACGCTGGCGCCCCAACTGGATAGGAAAGGTCACAGCTGTCATACAGAGATCATTAAGTGAGAGTGATGGGCTCGGAGGAAAGTAGTTTCGTTCGGAATCAGATAGGGTAGAGCCTGCGCGGCTTGTCCTCTGCTCAGTTGCAAATAAATGCCAGAGACAGATAGATCTCTCGCTTTTTCAACTTGCAACCTCTTCCTCTCCCTTATGCCAACCCATTAATAGTTGTTATGGATTGCTCATGTTGCCATGAACCTCTGTGCACGATGCACAAAAAGTGGATGATACACAGAGGTTGTCCAGTCTGTGAATTCGTGTGCATGTGTGCACCTATCTCCATGTCCTCAAAATATGAGATTGGTTCAGGTTTGGTATCCGTATATCAAATAGCAATCCTGAAACTTGTAAATGGGTTTTCCCAGGAAACATGAGTTATCCTGCCATGAATTTGAAGGGAAGGGAGWGTCGACTGGCGTGACTTTTTAGGACGCATCCAGACAGCACCCAAAATACYTGCACTCCCAAATTTTTCAGYTTTGGTATCTGTAWATCAAATAGCAATCCTGAAACCTGGAAATGGGTTTTCCCAGGAAACATGYGTTATCCTGCCAWGAATTTGAAGGAAAGGGAGTGACGACTGGCGWGCKTTTTTAGGACGRATCCAGACAGCACCCAAAATACYTACACTCCCAAATTTTTCAGGTTTGGTATCCATATATRAAATAGCAATCCTGAAACCTGGAAATGGGTTTTCCCAGGAAACATGGGTTATCCTGCCATGAATTTGAAGGYAAGGGAGTATCGACTGGTGTGCCTTTTTAGGACGCATSCAGACAGCACCCAAAATGCATGCACTCRCAAATTGTTCAGGTTTGGTATCCATATATCAAATAGCAATCCTGAAAACTGGAAATGGGTTTTCCCAGGAAACATGAGTTATCCTGCCATGAATTTGAAAGGAAGGGAGTGTCAACTGGCGTGCCTTTTTAGGACGCATCCAGACAGCACCCAAAATGCGTGCACTCCAAAATTTTTCAGGTTTGGTATCCGTATATCAAATAGCAATCCTGAAACCTGGACCTTAATGTTCTTTTCCTTGCAGTGGTATAATGTAAACAGTTCGTGGGGTCAAAGCTCTAGGAATTTTTTATGAGCAGGGACTCTGAGATCATGTCCTACGCCAACTGGTATTAGTTGCAATCCCAACAGTAGATAAAAAGAAAATAGATTTTCCCAGGAAACATGTGTTATCCGTGTCATGAATTTGAAGGGAAGGGAGTGTCAGTCACATGTCAGCAAGACCTATCAACTTTGCAATTAGAAATGATTTTAGATCAATGGCCCATGTGCATTTTTGGGCAAATCCATACAGCACCCAAAATGCGTGCCCTCCCGCATTTTCACATGGGGCATCCAAACGACAGCCCACGTAAAAGTGAATGCATTTGGCACAAAGCAGGAAAACCCTGTTTGTGCCGAATTAATTTGACACCTGGAAAGGCCACCTTTTGCCCTCCTTTCATGTCTCTTTGAATTCTGCAGCACTGCTGGTCACAGCTGGCCTCCACTTAGAGTGCTCAAGGGCCAGGGCAGCAGCCTAACCAAAGTAGTCCATTAGAAGTATCAGCAGATGAACCAAAGTAACTAATTAGTAGTTGCGTCTAGGGATATTTCTGCTGGCAAAGGGCTGCTGCAATGAAGTAGGGGGAAGGAAAGGGCGAAAAACAAAGAAAGGTAAGTTGCTTCACGGGAATACAAACCATAGCCCAGGGTCCAATGGTTTCATTCCTCCCTTAAAGGGTGTTTGCCCCATAAGAAATATGATGGCCACCTGGTCTCTTCCAATCCCCTAGACTGGCCTGTGGATCTCCTAAATGCAAACCTATGTGGATTGGATCCAGATTAAAACAGCAAAAAGGTGCTTGTGTTTATTATTATGTTTATGTTTATTTATACCTCACTTTTTCTCTCCACAAGGAGACTCAAAGAAGACCACTAGACCTGCTTTGAGCACTCTCATTGCAACTTGTGGCCTGCTATGTATATTATGACCTTACTTACGTAGGCGATTCCTCATAGCCTGAGGATGATGGTCTTCCAAGTGTAGTGCCTTAGTAGTGGGTCCGTAGGTGGCTGTGGAGCCCTATTCTCATGTTCTCCCACAATGAGGACATCAGTTTCCAGGTGGAAGGTGGTCCTGGTCAGGGTTGGCATGATGTGCCTTCCTCTTGGCATGTTTCTCCCTTTCGCCCTCCATTCAGGTCTCTTCAAATTCTTCAGCACTGCTGGTCACAGCTGAACTCCAGTTCAAGCACTCAAGGGCCAGGGCTTCCCAGTTCTCGGTGTCTATACCGCAGTTTTTAAAGTTGGCTTTAAGCCCATCTTCAGATCTCTTTTCCTGTCCGCCAACATGTCGTAATTATGACCAAGAAGGAGATAGGAAAGGTAGAACCAACCTTTATCTTCATAGCTCTTGGGAAGAGAAAAAGTGGGATATAAATAAACATAAACAATAAACTTGAAACTACAAGAAAGGAGATTCCACCTGAACATTAGGAAGACCTTCCTGACTGTGAGAGCTGTTCAGCAGTGGAACTCTCTGCCTCGGAGTGTGGTGGAGGCTCCTTCTTTGGAGGCTTTTAAGCAGAGACTGGATGGCCATCTTTCGGGGGTACTTTGAATGTAATTTTCCTGCTTCTTGGCAGAATAGGGTTGGACTGGATGGCCCACGAGGTCTCATCCAACTCTAGGATTCTATGATTCTATAATAACAATACCTGTAGTGCCTCCCCATCCATTGGAACCCTGTTTTCCCATTCCTAGAGTGACAAACATGGCTTCCCAGATTGCCAATTGTTGTCCACCCCAGATGTATTGAGATTGTGTGGTGCAATACATGTTTGGTTGTCCACAATGAGTCCTTTTCGCCCGTCCTCTCCAGCTCGGTTCTGTCTCCTGTCTTTCCTCGTCCTCCTCTTGTGTCTTTCTCACGGAACCCACCTGAGATCCTTGCCATCTCATTCCAGATCCCACCCTGAACGACGGCATGCAACGGGAGGATCCACCACGATCCCAGCCACCACTCCAGCGACTTCTGACCACCTGAGCCAATTTTCCTCCCTCCTGGGCGTCGGACCCGACACATTCAAGACGACGATGGTGCAATGAACTTTTCATAGGATTTTTCTTTTCCTTCAGTGCCTTATGGGGAGATTCTTAAGACTCAAAAACAATGCAAACCATCTTAAAAACAAAAAAAGTATTCTTGCTTTGCTTGAAAACAAAACGACGATGACGACGACGACGACGGGAAACAAGACGGTGTTCTCCTCGACGAGAGCGGAGTCTTCTTGTAAAGATAACTTTAGCGAAACGTCAACAGAAGCCATTCTTTGATACCACTGCACAGTATACGGACACGCTTCTTTTGAAATCGAAGCAAAAGGGGGTCCCAAGTGCCCCTTTCCCCCTCATTCGCGAAACGTCGAGCTGTTCTTGATCTTATGCCTCAGAAATGCTCCAGCTTCTCTTTCTAGGACAGCGCGTTGCCTAATTCTGTGTTTTACTCTTGTACGACTTCATGTCCTTCCTTCCTTCCTTCCTTCCTTCCTTCCTTCCTTCCTTCCTTCCTTCCTTCCTTCCTTCCTGGCAGAGGGGATTCTCCTTCGAGCTTGCCTCACATCTTAAGGAAATGCATATATCAACCCAAACAACTGAATGTAACATACAAAAAAGAGGGGAAAAGGGAGGCAGAGGTGTCAACAGATTGAGATAACATACATCAGAAGATCAAGCTGTCCGGGAAGGATAAGAGCGAAGACTGTGTTGCAAGACACAACGCAGGCCAGGATTTTATACCCATTCTCTTCTATCATCTGCAAGTGCTTTGTTTTTAAACCAACTACCACTGATATTTAATGGATAAGAACACAATATATTTGGAGTTTAGGTTTCCTGCCATATATTATCTAGGGATGTGCGGCGTTCATGCGCTTGTATGTTTTTGGAAAACATTTAACATCCAATTCTAAAAGCAAAAGGATTGGGAGAGGAAAGCGTTGGTCTCCGTCATACGATCTCTGTCAAAAAATGAAAATTTCCCCTTTATTTCCCTATAACTTCATTTTTTTAAAAAAAAAAGAGAGGGGAAAAAACCAACAATTTAGCACTTTTAAAAAATATCGTGTCAGAAGCGAATTGAGAATGTACGGCAAGTCGCTTCTGGTGTGAGAGAATTGGCCGTCTGCAAGGACATTGCCCAGGAGACATTGTCCGGATGTGTTACTATCCTACTCTCATGTCCCTGCAAGGGAAGATAGAGCTGACAGATGGGAGCTCACCCCGTATCATGGATCCAAACTCCCGACCTTCAGGTCTTCAGGTCAGCAGTTCAGCCGGCGCAAGGGTTTAAACCATTGCGCCACTGCGACTCCGCAAATCTAGCACTGTGTTGTGATGAAGCTTTGAGGCTTCGAAAAGGTTGATTGAGATGGTCCCTCAAACGAGACCCAAGTCGATCTGGCTCACGGCGAAATGCTCTCTCAGTACTGGTAGTAGTTACTGTATTCTCTCAGCTGCTCTTGGTCATCATTTCATAACTACTTCTATAAAAATTAGGATACTTAGGGGCCATATTTACTTTCGTAAGGAATATAACGCATTCCAAAACATGCCTATTCATAAAGAGACTGCAATGCATTACCGCCTTACAGCTTTTGAGATGTAGGAAGAGAGAGAATGGATATTCTCTGATCTGAGCATCTCAAGCCAGGAAAAGATTTCTGGATTTAGAACAGTGGTCCCCAACCTCTGGTCCGTGGATCACCAGTGGTCCACAAGAACGAAAATATGATCCACGGCCTCACTATTACTATAGTGTTGCCTCAAAACCACATGGCAACGAGAGCGTCTGGTCTCACGAAACTCTCTTATAGTGCCGAACCCATTTGACTTTTTAGGGCACATCCAGATAGCACCCAAAATGCATGCCTTCCTGGGTTTTCACGTGGGGCATCCAAACGACACCCCACATAAAAGCAAATGCATTCAGCAGAAACAGGAAAACCCTGGTTGTGCCGAATTAATTTGACACCTGGAAAGACCCGGGTCTTGCGAAACTCTCTCATAGTGCCAAGCCAACAGGGATGTCGGGAGGGGAGAGGCTGACGACCCACGAAAGATTACTACTACCACATCAGCTCTAGATTATTAAATATGGTTTTCTGTGGGTGAGCAGATAGCGACTACTGGGTGGCATATGTTCTGTATCAGAAGCTAGAGCTGATGTGGTCTATCCAATGTAATTTTCTGAATCAGCATTCCAAATAACCAAACCGAATCTAAAGTTGACCAAAAACTGATTCGTAACCCTTTTGGTACTACTGTGTTCCCTCATTACTTTGTGGTTCACTTTCCGCGGACTCGCTGTTTTGCGGGGAAAGAGGACCATCCCTACTTTGCGGATTTTCACTTATCACGGGTGGTCTTGGAATGTAACACCCGTGTTAAGAGAGGGAACACTGTAATGTTGGAGAGTGGTCCCTGGTCAATGTGGTCTCTCATCGATGTGGTCCCTGGTCAAGTGATCCATGGTCAAAAAAAGGTTGGGAACCACTGGGTTCGGATACGAAATAAATCCCGAGCTGGAAAGGAATTCCGAGCCTGTAAATTGTAATCAATCCGAAGCCAGGGAAGATTTCCGAGCAGTCCGAGCTAGATAATACACTAGGCTTAGTTGGACCAATGGTCTGAATCTATAAGGTAGCTTCTTACATCCATAGCTGCATTTTTACTATTTAAAAGAAATCCCATGATCATTTATCAAATAGCTTAAAAAATATAAAATAAAGGCATCATCATCTGCATACTAATTAATTACCTCTAATACGACGATATGTGCAATTTGGTAGTTCAGCAAGGTTTCATTTCATAAATAACATACTGGATATTAAGACAAAAAAACGAAAAAAAATGATAATAATATATATTTTTCTTTAAAATTAAAAAAAGCAAAATGTTTGGAAGAGGTCACTGAGGATATATTTGATAGCTCATTAAAACTCAAACATATAAAAGTCACTGAGGATATATTTGATAGCTCATTAAATCAATCAAGCATATATCATAGGAATTTTAAAAAAAGGAAAGAAATACATATTTACATTATTTTCCACCAAACGTAACATTAAAAAAAGTAAGATTCACATACGATAGGACAAAGTTGCTGCTCATGTTTTTACAGAGACGTTAAGCAAAAAGAAAACTGTTCTTTTTCCTGAAACTGTGATTTTAAAATTTTCTGAATGCTACGATATTTCAGCAGAAGGAAATGTGAAGCTGTGCAAAATATGTTGTATTTACGTAAAAAAAAAACGGGGGGAAAAAAAGAGAATTTTTCTTAGAAGCTGTATAAAAAGAAATGTATGTTTATCAAATGAGAATAATTTTTTTCAGAGTGAAGGCTTCATGCCGGTGATGGGTTTGGTAAATGGGTTGTTATTTTTTAAAATGTGCATGTTAATTAACAAAAAAAAATGTCAACTGCTTAAAAAAAAAAAAAACAACCACCCGGTCCTGCTCCTAACTTCAGGCTATGGAAGAAGTCTAGCAGTAACAATTTAAGACTCTGTTTTTGTTCTGTTTTTCCTCCTTTTTCCTTTGGAAAGAAAAACTCCAGCAAACCCTTTTTGAGATGATTTTCCTTATTGGTTGTTAAAACTGCACTTCAGTGAACAGAAGACGAAAAACAAAACAACTCGCCAAGCAAAACTCATGGCTGGCTGTCAAAGTGTAAAAACTGCATGTGTGGGCATAAATTCCTGAGCCTCACTTGAATGAGGTCTTGTACAAAGAGTTTTAATACATTTTGTAAATAAAATTGTAAAGAAAAGAAAATAAAAAATCATGATTCTGAACTTCGGGCTTGAGGAGATGTTTGGGTCGATGGTCCTGTTTTGCAGACTTTCCTTGCTTCCCAAACCTCACAGTCTCTGAGGATGCTTGCCACAGATTGTCACGTTGCCAGGGCTCTGCCAATATTTAGGCAGAGATGAACCAAACTCCCATTTTGTGTTAAGCAATTTAATTAAAGCAGCACTTACTGCTGGCTGTTTAAATAGTCCAAAATATAAAACATAAAGATTGCACTCAGCCACAGAATATAAAACAAAAACAGCAAACACTGCTGTAGGTTCAAGATAACTCCATAGTCAAAAGGTCCAGTCCTGTGATCAAACTCCGAGAGTTCAATAAACAAAGTCCAGGGATCAAGAGTCTATACCGTAGTCAAAAGCCAGTCCAAAGATTCAAGGTTCCAGGATTCCAAAGGTTCAGGAGACAGATCAGGACACCAAAAATCCACAAACCTGGGGGGAAGACCAGCAGCATCTACCACCAAAATAAAACAAATACTTTTCTCCCAAAGATCAGTCCCAAGACTAGCTCCTTATATCCAGAAACACCCAGCTGCAACCTGTCTCTTGCATACCTGCACCCTTAATTGCTTTCACCCATGAACTTTTACTTACAGATTACTCAACCCTTTAGAACTAAGACTTACATTAACCCTTCCATCACCAACTGCTAGGCCTACCACCATCAATCACCATCAACTGCAGAACATGATACATGACACAGATGCAGGCGAAACATCAGGAGAGAATGCTTCTAGAACATGGTCATACAGCCCGAAAAACCTACAACATCCCAACTTCCCTTGATGGCTATGTTTCATCAAGGAAAACAAGAGAGTCCTTTTTGGAAAATGCGAATCTCCACAACCATTTGGGAAATGGGATTCATAATCTTTTGGGAAAACCACTGGTCACAGGAAAGGCATGACCTTGTTAAAAGTCACAATCTTTTTGGGAAAATGGCATTCACCAGCATTCATGCAAAGCAACTAGGTCTCTCGTTGGTTGGACTGATGTATATGTCTTTGAACTGCTAGGGACAAAGAAATGCCATTAATAATGCTTCAATAATATAATGTTGAGGGCTTTCATGGCCAAATCACTGGGTCGTTGTAGGTTTTTCAGGCTGTATGGCCATGTTCTAGAAGTATTCTCTCCTCATTCTCATTCTCAGAGGTTGTGAGAGAGGAGAAAATAAAGGAAAGAAAGAAGAAGAAAGGGGAAAGCAAGAGAAGGGAGGGAGGGAGGGAGGGAGGGAGGGAGGGAAAGGATCTATGAGGGAAAGGAAGGGAAGGAAGGAGAGAGGGAAGGAAGGAAAAGTGGGAAAGGGCATGAGGGAAACAAGGGAAGGCAGGAAGCATGGAAAGAAAGAAAGAAAGAAAGAAAGAAAGAAAGAAAGAAAGAAAGAAAAGAGCAGGGAAGGATGTGTGAGGGAAAGCAAGGGAAGGAAGGAAAGAAAGAAAAGATAGAGAAGGGGTGATTGAGAGAAAGCAAGGGAAGGAGGGAGGAAGGAAGAAATGAAGGAAGGAAAAGAGAGGGAGGGGTGTATGAGGGAAGCAAGGGAAGGAAGGAGAGAGGGAAGGAAAAGAGGAAAGTGTATGAGGGAAACAAGAGAAGGCAGGAAGCATGGAAAGAAAGAAAGAAAAGAGCAGGGAAGGATGTATGAGGGAAAGCAAGGGCAAGAAGGAAAGAAAGAAAAGAGAGAGAAAGGGTGTTTGAGATAAAGCAAGGGAAGGATGGAGGGAGGAAGAAAGGAAGAGAGGAAAAGAGAGGGAAAGAATAAGGGTGGTATGAGGGAAAGGCAAGTAGAAGGGGATGGATAATGAGAATAGTTAGGGAAAGGAATAAGTATAGTAGGGAACAATGAGATGGATGAAAGTTATGGGCGCAGGGAATGGAAGCAAGGGAGGGAGGGAGGGAGGGAGGGAGAAAGGAAAAGAGCAGGGAAGGATGTATGAGGGAAAGCAAGGAAAGGAAGGGGGAAAAGAAAAGAGAGAGAAAGGGTGTTTGAGAGAAAGCAAGGGAAGGAGGGAAGGAGGGAGGAAAAAAGAAAGGAAGGGAGGAAAAGAGAAGGAAAGGGTGTATGAGGGAAAGCAAGAGAAGGAAGGAATGCAAAGAGGGAAAGTATATGAGGGAAACAAGAGAGGGGAGGAGGGAAGGAATGATACTTTATGTCTTATGGATATGATAATGTGTACATTAGATTTATCTATTGAATTAGACGGTAATGTCCGAGAAGAGTTATTTAATTGTGATATTGGAATGGTAAGGAAAAGCTTATCTAGTAAAGGATGTGATGTAGGGAAAGCGTGAAGGATTAAGAGTAAGGGAAAGTAAGAAAATGAGTAGAGAAATGGGTGTTTGTAGAAATTAAGCACAAGGGTAAGGAGTGGAATGGGTAGGAAGGAAAATAGATAAATAACTGAGTAAAATATGATGACATATGGGCGTACGATGGCGGATAAGCAATAGTAAGGAAGAAGGAATGCAAAAGAGGGAAAGTTTATAGGTGGTCGGTAGGTGAGGTGTTGAAAGGAAGGGTGGTGGAGGTAACCACATTAGTATGCTGTGGCAATGAAGAAAAAACAGAGAGAAGAGATTGCGACAGCCAGATCTAGAATACCTTGTTGAAAACGGCGAGGAAGGAGTAAATGAGAGGTAAATAAGTAAGAGGAGGAATAAAAAAGAAGAAAGTGGACAATTAAGGTGAAATAAGGAAGAGTGGTTTCAGAGTGAGCATTAAAGGGTAAAGAAACAAAACTTAACAAGTCGCAGCTCAAATATTGGGGGGAAACAAGGCAGAGTCATGGTTTAAGCATGAGTGAAAGTAAGGGAAGGAAAATAGTCGAGAGGGTCAGGATGTAGTTAGAGGATAGTCTAAGGAAGAGAAAGGAAAGAAAGGAGAGTAGGAAGAAAAGAAGGAAAATGAAGTTGCCTGAAAGAAAAAAACAACAGGAGGAGGCGAGTGGGAGGTAAGGTGAAAAATGAATAAGATAGGGAAAAGAGTGTTAATGGAGGGATTAAGAACAAGGGATACAGGCCCATAGGTGTATAGGAATGAAAAGATGTGAATAGGAGCATGAGGAAAAGCAAAGGCTGGCTCTGAATTGTAAGTCAATCTTAGCCTGGACTGAAATGTAAAGCTGGAAATGGAAGAGAAAGTTAATGTAAGAGGCATGAAGGATGTGAGTTAGGTAAGCTATAGGGAAGGAAGGAAAGAAGAAAGAAGGATTGGAAGAAGTAAGGTTGTTTGGTTAGAGGTATCGTAAGGCCCAAGTCGTGTTTAACGGAGAGGGATGATGTGGATAGAGTATTAATACCTTAAACCTTCATTCGTCTACTTGAATCAGAGAGGCTTTCTAAATTTTTTAACTTTATATTCACTCAATTGTCACATCTGAACTAAATTAAGGAACTGTTCACAACGCAGGTCACGTATAATGACTGCGTGGGCCACTGGCACATGGTCTGGAGCAGTACCCGCGAGGGATTAGGACAGGGATTGCTAGTAGGGCAGCGGAGCTGACGGCCACCGGAAGAGTTATATCGGTCATGTTAAGTGATAAGGTAAGGAGAGCGAGAAGAGGTAAGGAAGGGTAAAGGTCAAGGAAGTGAAGGAATAATGACGCAGGAACGGATGTATGTAGGGTTATTAATCAAGGGAAAGGTGTAGAGGGCGGATATTAAATGTAAGAGCGAGTAGAGAAGGTGTGTTTGATGATAAAGAAGACGTGCTCTAATGGATAGAAGGAGGCTGATGGAGGTAAAAAAGGTAAAAGGGAGGTAAAAATGAGGTTAAAGGGGCGTATGAGGGTAAAGGCTACAGAGAAGGACAGGATGATAAAGGGTGATAAAGTTATAGAGAGGGGAGGCGAGGGAGGGTAGGGTAAAGGAAGGGAGAGTGAGGAAAGTAGTTCAGAATGAATGATGTATGAGAGGAAAGTGGTTAAGGGAAAAATAGAATATAGGAGAGAGAGGAAGAGTGTCTGAGAAAAGCTTATCTAAGGGAAGGAGGGTAGGGAGGGGAGGAAAAAAAGAAAGGTAAGGAAGAAAACACTCAAAATTGATATATGGAGGTAGGAGAAAGGAGATAGAGTTAAGGGGTGTTAGATATAAGGACAAACAAAACGTTAACGCAAGCGATAAATGAGGAACAGGTAGGAAGGGAAGAGAGAGGAAGGGAGAGGGAATATTAAGAGGGAACAAAAGTGTATGATAGCGGAAAGCAAGGAAAGCATTGAACAAATATGGAAAGAAGGAAAGAAAAGAGCAGGGCAGGATGTGTTAAGGAAACAAGGGAAGGAGGGAGGGAGGGAGGAAGGAAAATGGAAAAAGTGCATGTGACAAATAGTGGGAGGAAAGAAAGCCACAAAGAGAGCTTGCCCATGGAGACATTGTGAGGCCGGCCTTCTTAAAGCTGGAGAAGGGAGAAAGCAAGGGGGGGGGGCATCATCTCCTCTGACACCCAGGAAATGTTGGTTATTGGTTCTATATGCTAGTTCATAATATAATCCAGGATGCTCCCTAAGCAACCCAATTCTATTATTTGTTAATAAGTGACTTCATTTCAAGTTCAAAATTGAATCAGAGGTGGAAATGTACCACAAATGCGCACACACACCCCGTCATGCTAAGCAAAACATTTTTCCAGCATACTGAATGCGGAGGAAGGTGACAAGCCGAGCCAGCCCCATGCCGGTGATTGATATTCTAACCACCTGAAGCAAATGGCAAAATCTCTAGCCTGCCACTGAGACCTGGGCTGTTAATTTGTTCGACTATTCAAACTGTGCAAGCTATAGAAGTGCGAAAGAGACTGTAATGACAGACTAATAAATAAAGCTCTCACTGGGCAAGCAGCTCTCTGCACCGCGGCTCCAGATGCAAGCTGCCATGTGCGAGAAGCAAGAACGTCGGTAGATTGATCTGCTTGAACTCTGCCCCAAAGATGCAAATGCATTCGTGAGCAAGCTAGGCTCCACTGGGTTGTTGCTGCTGAATTTAGAAAAGTTACTTTTCACGGATGACGGTATGCCAAGAAATCCTCAGCGGTGACATTGCAAATAATTGATTTTTCCAAGCCTTAAGGCTAGATCAAGTCATAATTGAGTTAAAACTTGGTTTCAAGGAATGCATCTAGAAATGACGTCATTTGACATAACACACATGCTTTGAAATCATGGAAGCTTAAGTTTGGTGAGACACTTTGCCCTTTTTGGCAGAGAAGGCAAAAAAGATCTTGCAAAACTGCAACTGGTTTCCATAGTGTTTGGTGAGGATGAGAAGCTCTGAGGGTTCCCTGGAGACAAATCAATAAAGAAATAGATGTGTGTATGTATACCATAAACTGGATTTTCTTTTGCTGTCTGTGTCCCTGTNGCAGATGGTGACTACTGGATGGGATATGTTCTGTGTCAGAAACTCAAGCTAATGTGGTCTATTCCAATGCAATTTTCTGAATCAGCACCCCAAATAACCAAACCGAAACTAAAGTTGGCCAAAACTGATTTGTAACTCATTTGATACTAATATTGGAGAGTAATCCCTGGTCAAAGTGGTCTCTGGTCAAATGGTCTCTGGTCAAGTGGTGCATGGTCAAAGTGGTCCCTGGTCAAAGTGGTCCCTAGTCAAAGTGGTTCCTGGTCAAATGGTTTCTGGCCAAAGTGATCCCTGGTGAAGTGGTCCCTGGTCAAAGTGGTCCCTGGTCAAGTGGTCCCTGGTGGTCCCTGATCAAGTGGTGCATGGTCAAAGTGGTCCCTGGTCAAATGGTCTGTGGTCAAAATGGTCCCTGGTCAAGTGGTCCATGGTCTAGTAGTCCCTGGTCAAAGTGGTCCCTGGTCATGTGGTCCCTGATCAAAGTGGTCCTTGGTTAAGTGGTCCCTGGTCAAATGGTCCGTGGTCAAATGGTCTCTTGTCAAAGTCGTCCCTGGTTAAGTCGTCCCTGGTCAAAAAAAGGTTGGAACCACTGTTTTAAACAGACAAAGTTTCTTTGTCCCATGCTGGACATTCCACAGATATATATACACTTGCCTCACCTTCAACATACTTGGGAAGATGCCAGCCACAGATGCAGGAGAAACATCAGGATAGAAGGAAACTGGAACATGGCCATAAAGCCCAAAAACCTCACAACAACCCAGAAGAAGGTTGGTTGGGAGATTTAGAGTTTGACTCTCTTCATCATAATCATCCCTGCTTCTTTGAAAGTATTGAGATTAAATTCTCTCACCTGCTTTTCCTCCAGTGTCTTCTCTTCTGCTTCACTCAGGAGGAATCCTTCAGCCAAGGCCACGGCCTGGGAGCTGGTCTCTGCCCCACATTCCCTCACCCAGCGCTCCATCTCCGCAGGAAGGATGGCCAGGAACTGCTCCAGGATCACCAGGTCCAGCATCTCTGCCTTGGAGTGTCGCTCGGGCTTCAGCCACAGGCGGCACAGAGAGTGGAGGCAGCTGCAGGCCTCTCGAGGCCCCGAAGTCTCCTTGTAGGTGAACTGCCTGAAGCTCTGGCGCTCTGTCTCTGAACTCAGTGCATTCCCTGGTAACGTATTTCCCAAAAGCGGTCCTCCACTCCCAGCCTGAATGGCAGGAGAGTCATCATCCTTTGACCAGGGGATGCAGAGGTCTTGCTTTTCCTCCTGCGATCTGTTCTTCCAGGCAAGTTCCAGCAGAGCTACAAGAGCCATGTCCCCTTTGGTGGGATTCTCCCCTTCAAGACAAGAGATGGTTTGATGAGAAATCCCCAGCCTGGGAATAAAATCAAAAGGTTTGGTGAAGGAACTCTTGATGAAACTCTCTTACCTTCTGCTCTTGCAACTTTTTCTCTTTCAGCCTGATTAATGCTTTCTCTTGACCGAGAGATGTACGAGCATCACGCTCACTCTCCAAAATTGCTCTTCCTTCTGGGAAAGAAGGCAACACTAGCTTGAATCAATGAGAAACAGCTGGAGGGGGAGGACCTGACCTCTTCACATGGACGGAAAGGGCTGGACCTTGGATGCAAGAGGCACATTTGTCCCCTGGTCGTTTCCTTTCTCTCTAGGAATCCACCTCACTCAGCTTAACCCATAGAAAGCCTGTCTGCAAAGGGATCTTGTAATACAGTAGAAGCTTTGAGACTCATTGTGATCGCCTCCTTCTTGTCTCCAATTTCAAAGCAACATGTCCCTTTCTCAGACTGAGACCTGGAGAGATCTCCTTGTATCTCCAATGGTTGCGTAGAAGGCTTGTTACACAGCCTGGTCCAAGGCAAAACTTGCTCAAATTGCTTCAAACTACAAGAGAGGAGATTCTATCTGAACATGAGGAAGAACTTCTTGACTGTGAGAGCCGTTCAGCAGTGGAACTCTCTGCCCCGGAGTGTGGTGGAGGCTCCTTCTTTGGAAGCTTTTAAACAGAGGCTGGATGGCCATCTGTCAGGGGTGATTTGAATGCAATATTTCTGCTTCTTGGCAGAATGGGGTTGGACTGGATGGCCCATGAGGTCTCTTCCAACTCTTTGATTCTATGATTCTATGAAATTCCTGCTTCTACACACCGATGAAGGATGTATGGCCTGTCTCCAATTTTTGGTCAGGCAGCTTCAGACCCTTTTTGAGTTCTCACCCTAAAGGAGGAGGAAAAACCTTATTGGGAAATGATTCATAAGGAGTGTCAAATAATACTAAACGCAGAATTGACAATGAAACCTGAACATTATCTGTTGGGGATGTTTGACTCTGAATTATTCACATCTGCATGCTTGCCCACAATGTCCTGCCTCATGCACAGAGGGAGAACTGTTTTTAAAGCTACAGACAATGTAGTGGCTGTTGCCCATTTTTGGTCTAAAATTATTTAGCTGCTTGTGTTCCTTCTATTTTTATCAGTTTTATACTTGATTATTTATGCAATGCTTTTGAGACAAAATAAACAAACTTGAAGCAGATGCCATCCATTTAAAAACACACAGGTACTCTTGGAACACAATTTTTTATATTTGCTTTAACAGAATCACAGAATTCTAGAGTTGGAAGAGACCTCGTGGGCCATCCAGTCCAACCCCATTATGTCAAAATTGCATTCAAAGCACCCCCCACAGATGGCCCTCCAGCCTCTGTTTACAAGCCTCCCAAGAAGGAGCCTCCACCACGGACCATTTTGACCAGGGACCACTTTGACCAGGGACCATTTTGACCAGGGATCACTTGACCAGGGACTTTGACCAGGGATCACTTGACTAGGGACCATTTTGACCTGGGACCACTTTGACTAGAGACCACTTTGACCAGAGATCACTTTGACCAGGGATCACTTGACCAGGGACCACTTTGACCAGGAACCACTTTGACCAGAGACCACCTTGACCAGGGATCACTTGACCAGGGACCACTTTGACCAGAGACCATTTTGACCAGAGATCACTTGACCAGGAACCACTTTGACCAGAGACCACCTTGACCAGGGACCACTTTGACCAGGAACCACTTTGACCAGGGACCATTGACCAGGAACCACTTTGACCAGAGACCATTTTGACCAGGGACCACTTGACCAGGGACCACTTTGACGAGGAACCACTTTGACCAGGAATCACTTTGACCAGAGACCACATGACCAGTGACCAGCTTCATGGCTACTCAGTGCTATTCAGCTTGCCAATTGCAACATTCACACTTGCTTTAAACAGACAAGTGCTCTTTCTCCCACCCTGGACATTACTCTACAGATATATATGCACTCCACTTGACTCACTGCCGACAGAACCTCTGAAGGAGCCAGTCACAGATGCAAGCGAAATGTCAGAAGAGAATGCTGCTGGAACATGGCCATACTGCCCGAAAAACTCAAGTGATTCCGGCCATGAAACAACACAACATTTTCCCTTTCCCTTTTCTATGTTCTGCTAATTCTGTGTTTCGTTAGATGGCTGACTTGTTTTGTAGAAGAGCCCACGACATTGGAGATGTCTCTGTCCAACTCCAGGTGGACGTTGCACCCCAAGCGGATTGTGCAGGACACAGGTAGAACACCCACTTCCATACGTAAGGATGAAGGTATACTTTTATGGTTTGGTCCACTCCTTTTGATCTATCTGGGCTCAATCACAATCACAGTCTGTGTGAAATGAATCTAGGTGTCACTTGATTAGGGACCACATGGCCAGAGTCTACATTGACCAGGGTGCATTTTGACCAAGGATCACTTGACCAGCAACCACTTTGACCAGGGGACATTTTGACCACAGATCACCTGACCAGGGACCACTCTCCAACATAAGTACCAAAAGGGTTACGAATCAGATTTTGGTCAACTTTAGATTCAGTTTGGTTATTTGGGATGCCGATTCAGAAAACTACACTGGATAGACCACATCAGTTCTAGTTTCTGATACAGAACATGTGCCATCCAGTAGTCGCCATCAGCTCACCTATAGAAAACCATATTTAATCATTAGAGCTGATGTGGTAGTAGTAATCTTTCCTGGGTAGTCAGCCTCGCCCCTCCCGACATCCCCGTTGTCTTGGCACTACAAGAGGGTTTCTCAAGACCAGTTGCTCTCGTTGCCATGTGGTTTTGAGACAATGGTGTAGTAATGTTAAGGCTGCGGACCATATTGGTGGGTGACCGGGACAGATTAGGGATTCTGTTAGTGTACCGTCCACC